ACAGTCATGTCAAAATATCACATCACCTACAGCAGCCAATCAGACACAGCAAAGGTAATCATGTTTTATTGATTCTTTTTTTCAGGTAAGTATTACACTTGTATGTTGTTTCTCAAATAAGTGCTTTGCGTCCATACTGCCTGTTGCAGACCCTCTCACCGCAGGGGGGTTTGGAACTAGCCTACTGGTGGGACCGGGTCCCCCTGGGCAGGACCATGTTGCATATCTCAGTCTTCAAAGACGCCTCCCTGATGGGCTGGGGCAAAACCTGCCTCTCTTAGGCAGGGGGGGAAAAGGGGAAAGCATTCTGGGGCCCAGCTGCTAGGGGGGCCTATGCAGTCCAGCACTAACCCCGGACTCACACAGGTGGCATGTGCGCCGCGTTGCGGCTGCTGTACCTAATCGCTGCCATTGTTGTCAATGCTTGTGCTCACACTAGAAGCGCCGCAACGCGTCCTAGAAGCGGCTCTCTGCAGCCGGCCTATTTTTGACGGAAGACACGTCAAGCAGCACAGAGCAGTTGAGCCATGCAGGAAGTCTTATTCTGAAATGCCCCAGGTGGGAAATTCAGCCCTGCAGGGAACTGGAGGAAAACGGCTCACAGAGCGCTGTGATCGGTAGCAGAAGCACACAAAAGGATGCTTCTGAAACGTTTCCAGTGTGAGTTGACGCAGGGCTGAGGACGGGTCAAAACCATGGCGCAGCCATAAAGCGGCGCACATGCCGCCTTGTGTGAGTCAAGCATAATGATGTTCATTCTTAATATAAGCAAAGATAACGAAATTTAAATTTGAATTACTTCCTAAAATAACAACAGATTTTTTAAATTTGTAATGTTGCTTAAGTAAAATCCTAAGTAAAGCCTGTTTCATAATGAAAATATCCTCTCCTGAAAATGGTATGAGTAATGTTTGTTGTACTCTACATCAAAAAATACGCCGCATGCAGGCCATGTATGTGTTTATGTAGGAAAAAGAGAGAGAGCACAGCATGCCTTGACATGAGTAAATGATGGGCAGGCCTGCTCTCATTGTGGTGGGCGGTCTGTGGCAGGCCCACATGCCTCTCCCCATAAAAGTGGAAATGTAGAGTTTCCCACGGTGTGGAAGCTCTACATTTAATAGAACAAGGTTAATTTAGATGTCATAACTCAAACTAAAATTACAAGCCCACAAAGTTTGTGAATTTGAGTATCTCTGACTTGATGGAATCACAAGTTAGGAACATTGAAAGGGTTTTTTGACAGAACACATTTCCTCCTCTTAACTTCAGCAGTTATCCAAATGATTTTCTTCAAGGATTTTTAGATGGCTTTCGTAGATCTCTTCAGTTCTCAAGATAGAAAGCTCCTGGGCCTCTGGTCTGAAAATCTAACCTATCTGCCGTACAAATATGTGCAAACACTGCAATTATTCTCTCCAGTTGTTTAGAACACTCGGCCTGTGAGGCTGGTAATTTTTAAACTTGGGCAATCACATTTGTAAATACTGCAGTACAAATGCAGCCATGTAAGCACAAGCTCTTATAAATTGATCCAAAGTCTGTGCTGTATAGCTGGGTGCTCATTCTATTGACTTTTGGGTCATCTTTTTTTCCATCAAGCTCCATCAGGACCGTTTGCACAAATTCAAAGGTGAATTGCAGCCTTTTCAGATATTTTAGTTTGAGTGTGTATGGCTGTGGCTCAGGAGGTAGAGCAATGTTGCCCATTGATCAGAAGATCAGCAATTCAATCCCCGGCTCCTCCAGGCTGCATGACGAAGTGTCTTTGGGCAAGATACTGAACCCCAAATTTCCCCCGATGACTGTTCCATCGGTGTATGAATGTGTGAATGTTAGTTTCTGTTAGGCTCAGTGTATAAATGTGGGTGAATGCGTTGTAGTGTAAAAGCGCTTTGAGTGGTCGCAAAGACTAAAACAAATATTAAAAAAATGCTGGACAAATACAGAGCATTAAAACTTGAATAGGCGTAAATCACACAAGCTCTCATGTAGCGCAACCTTCCCCTGTGGAACTGTGAGCTTTATCAGAGGTGCTGAAGTTAATATGTGTGTGGAATTGTGGTGAGATTTAGTGTTTTCACTCAATTTTATTTTGCACCTGCTTGTCAGTCATCCTAACATGCTGTCCCAAATGGTTTTCTGTGTCGGTCAGATGTCAAGGTTAGGAAATGGTACGGTCCATTTTAGGCGTATTTTAAGATTCTTGAATAAAAGCCATGAATTTGGGAAATATATTTAATATTTACAAATACTGGTAAGAAAGACCTCCCTGAACTGTTGTTTTTGCCTCTTTTGGGGGGGTCCAATACTTAATTAGGGGGGTCAAATCCCCCTAACCCCCCGCGTAATTCGAAACCATGCGTACTGTATATCAAAAATATGGGAAACGTTGTACTTTTATGTGTTTTGCTGAAACGCATTAATTGAAGGTGTGTGATAGTCTGTAAAAATTCTGTACTAACACTCCTTTGTGCAGGATCGTGTCATGAAACAGGACTTGAGCAAGCTCCTCGAGTCCTTCACAGTCCATGGTGTTCGGCTCTTTATCTCTGGGCCAATCCTCGGCCTCCACACCTGCCTGCATTTAACCTGTAGAACCGGCGACGTAGATTTTATTGACAATTTTGAGCTCTTTTGGAAAGGCCGGTCTTTCTTTTATGTAATGGCACCCATCCAAACACAATCTGGAACTCTACCTCATTTACATCGACATATTGATTCACTTTGGATTTTACTTTTATAAAGGCAATCATTTTGTATTTTGTGTGACATCCTGATATGTTTACATTGCAATATGGGTTTTGAGAGCATATTGCAGAGCAAATTTGAGTATCTTTGAATATGTTAAAGCATTTGTATAAAGTATTGTTTTCGTAAACTGAAAAAAAAATGTAATAGTGGGTAAATTTGAGGACATAATGTTTGGCCCCTTTTCTTTAAAAGATGGTTATTTATTGTGTTGCAGTCAGAATTAGATTTGGGTCAGTGAAGATGGCTACAGAAAGTGAGGGCATTTTAATAGGAAAGCACATTAATTATGTGGATATTCAATTTCAATTAAATTTCATTTATAT